TACTAATTGATATGCAACTTGTATATGTATAGATCTGCATATGTAGAAGATCATACACACAAAAAAACATGCATCAATAATATATATATATATATATATATATATATATATATATATATATATATATATATAAAGAAATATAGTCTTAAGATGTACTATATTTATGGGATAAAGTGCTCAAAATCAGAGATAGAGCATGTGTAAATATAAAAGTGAACATAGAAGTCAACACTTAGAGGCCTGATGTTTGCAGACTGTTGCCTCTAAGTCTTGCCCAGGTATTCATGCTTGGGTCCCCATGTTAAAAAAGACCTTGTGTCACATCTCATCTCAGTGGAGAGACAGAGTAAATACTGTGTGTAAATCCCTCCCTTGAGAGATTTGTAACACATTATTTATCAACTCTTAGTTGCATCTCTGTCTTTGGGCAGAGTGCACTCAAGGGCAACTCTGTCAGAGTTGCAACTGAGGAAAATTATACTGAGAGATGTCCATCCCTGAGGAACAGCTGCCCAAGGCCATGCCCTCTCATTGCACCAGAAAGAGGGATTGGTACTCGCACAGAGGCTAGCAGAACTGATGTTGATGAGTACTCAGGGAATTTTTGTTCCTAGCCTGGGTGTGCACACTCAGGCTCCCCACATTAAACTGACCTTTCGTCACAACCTGACCTTGACTAAATTTGAGGGTTAACTAAATACATATTACTCTTGTGTAGTTTGTAACACATTTATTTATCATCTTTCAGTTGCATCTCTGTCTTTGGGCAGAGCGTGCTCAGAGGTGGCTCTGTCGGAGGACAGAGTCGCAAGTGAGGAAAATCATACTGAGAGATGCTTAGCCATGGGGAACACCTACCTTAGGCCACACCCTTACATTGTACTAGAGCGATGGTGCTCACACTGAGGCCAGTGCAACTGATGGATGTAGGGGCTAGGGCAATTTTTGTTCCTAGCTTGGGTGTACATGCTCAGGTCTCCACCTTAAAAACTGACCTTGTGTTGCATCTCATCATAGAGGGGAAACAGAGTAAATACCATGTGCAAATTACACTAAAGTAGTTTATAACATGTTTATCATCTCTCAGTTGTGTCTCTGTCTTTGGGCAGAGTGCACTCAGGTGCAGCTCTGTTGGAGGACAGAGTCACAACTGAGGAAAATCATACTGAGAAATGCCCTGGGAAACAGCTGCCATGGGCTGCACCCTCTCATTGTAGCAGAGATAGAGATTGGTGCTCACACTGAAGCATGGACAAACAATGGCTTGGGGAATTTTTGTTCCTAGCCCGGGTGGAACAAAAGCGCGCTCAAGCTCCCCACATTAAACTGACCAAATTACTATAAAGTAGAGCTGGTTTTTTTTATCTCAGAATCCATTGAAGACTTGAACTCCAATTTCACATTTATTCATATAGATTCCATAACATAAGTTTTACTTAATTAGCGATTATGTTTCTCTAACTCTTCAAATGTTGAATGTATAACTGATTCTAATTTCTATTTTCCCATCTTTACACTATATTAATTTTATCTTATAAATTGTTCCCCCCTATTCTGTTACCCATGAAATAAAAATAATTCTTTGTACAGAAAATAAGGAACTACGTGCATCAAATCATCTTTAAATTAAGTGGAAGCAGAAGAATTATCGTTTTTAAAAGGTAAGATTAAACACTAATTCAATACTTAAATGCAGCCATCAATTTTGAGTTCTTCTGCAGCTTATTGATGCCTAGTGCATCTACTCCTCCCTATTGTAATGATGGCCAAACCAAGCTAACTGAAATTTTGGATACAAAAGGAAAATAAGAGTTACTCCACTTGAACTCTGAAAGCAACAATAATGGCTAGTATAATATATTGATATATATTTTAAACCTCGTATAATTTGGCAAACTGGATTCTGAGTTCAACGAAAATCGTTCCCTGCGCCTAACTTTTCTAGCACTTTTGAATGAGCTATGAATCATTGAAATCAGACCAGTGGGAGTGGAGGAGTTGCTTGGACACACACACACACACACACACACTGTACTTTATATATAAGACACACACACACACATATTTTAATCATTTCACCCCAAGCAAGGCAGAAGTGCCACTAGCATGCAAGGAGTTACAGAGAATGAAAGCAAGAGAAAAGACTGGGTATGGAGGGTGGATTGAGGAAAGGAGAAAAGACAAATTGGTTTCAAGGCAACAGAAGATGGCACTTTATATTGTATTTAAATTTTTGAAGATTGTAGTTTTCAGGGAAGAAAGTAAGAGGAAAGGAAATCCACTGTTAAAAAGTGCAAGAAAAGAAATTGTTGGAGTAGAAGTGTCGGTTACATTTAACTACTTCAACAGTGGGACCTAGATGCCAATCTAGTAGCACACTTAAATTCATGTCAGAGCACCAGGGAAAAAAGCTCATTAGAGTAGTTGCCATGAAAATATTTGTAGAAAAGACAGCGAGAAGCCCTCATCATGTCTGTGGGAAATTGAGTGATGTCAAGATGCGAATTTGGGACTGATTACATAGTAGATCTTTGGATTTTGTCAAGAATCTCGAGATGAACTACAGGGATACCAGACCAGATATGGCAACAGTATTCAATACATGGTAGATC